CAGGAGCCCATCAAATCCCCGTTCGGGGTGGTGAAGGCGTCCTGGCTGCCCGTGTTCCCCGAGAAGAGCAAACGCCTGCCCACCCCGTCCATGATGAACGACTACTATGCCACGTCGCCGCGAATATTCCCACATTTGTGTTCTCTGTGTAACCTTGAATGCACTCATATGAAGGTGAGTGGCTTTCCCAGATTATTCCCTACGTGTGTGTACTCGGCACCTTTTCCTGCCGCTGGTTGTTTTCCCTGGGAATTCTGTGGATTGGGATGCTGGCCGCCAAGGTTGAGTGTTGGGCATGATGCTAGAAATGATTGTAACGGCGTGTTCTTCTCCCAGTTGCTTTTCAGTGTCAATTTTCATTTTTATTTCAGTGTTGAAATGTGTTTTGACTTTGCAGCGGGGTCTCAAGCAACAAAACAAACCTCGAGCAGCGGAGTGAAACATTAATGTCGTGTGTGGGGGGCTCAGATCGTGTCTGGGGGTGGGTGAGATGTCTGTGTGTTCATTCCCCCCCTTCCTCCTCCTCCAAACTCTGCCTGGAAACAAAAGAGCCCATTCAGAACCCGAGATTTCATCTTCCAAATGTGCCCTGTGTGACAACGCTGAATATTCCAGAGGCTGGCTCGGGGCCACGCGGAAAACGCGTCCGTTCATCCCGCCGGGCTCTCAGCCTCGAAGGAAATCACAGTTTGAGCTTTGAAGGAAAAAATAAAGGGAGGAAATGGTGGATATTTGGAGATAAAAAATATTTTGGAAGCTGTGGGTTTGCCTGGAAAAGCCCAAGGTTTGATCCATCAAAAATATTGGAGAACAGGATATAAAACCCCAGAGTAATTAATGAATAGTTATTTAATGTGTTTGAATGGCAAAGTGTGGAGAGGCTGCGGGGGAGGGATTTTTGTAATTTGGCAAAATCCTGGAGGTTTTAGGCTCTGTTTGCTGTGAGTTCAGAATCTGGCTGAAAACGGGGACGGCTTTGTTAGGGAAAAAGCCAGAAATTCCCAAATCCTTTTCCCCAGGATTCGCTGAGGGCCAGGGAGGTGGGCAGCTGGAAGTGGGAAGGGAAGGATGATTTTCAATAAAAATGGGTAAAATTGAACAGGAAGACGAAAGTGGGGAGTGTTAACAAAGGGAAAAAGCAATTCTGGAAAAGGGAATTAACCGAGATGGGAATTCTTAGCTCGTTTAAGCAGGGAAACGTTGTCACTAAAAATGTGTTGGTAAATCAGCTCTGGCTGAGGGTTTTGGGTGGTTAAAGGTGGTGAGATCTTGTGCTGGTGGCGCTGGGGTGGGATGTGTTCCCAGGAATCGTGATCCTACAGACCCCCCAAAGCTGCTCCCTGTCCTTCAGCTCTGCCCGGGTTCCTTTCCTTCGGGAAGCGTTTGGTGTTCTGTCTCCCAGGGACACAGGAAACCTCCCAGGAGCAGCCCTGGTGCAGAAGAACCACAAGAGTTTGGGAGTTTTATCCCAAAAATAAAACTTGGATGAGGAAACGTGCAGCTGGCGTATCCTCGAACTGCAGAGATCGGAGAATCCCTCTCCATTCCAGCTCTGCAGTTCGGCACATCCAGCGGGTGTTGGGTGGTTGGAGATGATCTGGACATTGAAGATTTGTCTTCCCAACCATTCCCTGTCCCGTGAGAGCTGGATGGGAGCTGAGTTGGAGGAGCCACCAGATCCAGTGATTCCCAAGGACTTGAGACATTCGATGCTGTCCAGGTGGCATGGCTGCCCTCGGCCTGGAGAGATGGATTGCATGGATGGTGGCACTTGGAGTTGTCACCGCTCCGTGCCCAGAGATTGGGATCAGCACCATCCAACGTCTCTGTCGGTGACAAGGACACCGGCATCGGTCACCCCTGGCACGGGGAGGGTGGCACCGAGCTCTGCCCTGGCATCACACCTGCAGGGAGAGGTGGCACC